TGCCTCGGAAGAGCCTGAAAGAGCAGGACCTGCAGGTAGCAGTGGGACCCTCAGCAGTGTGGCATACAGCTGGCAGGCGAGGCTCCCCACTGGGCTCCAGGATCCCCAAGGAGAGGCTGCAGCCAGCAGGAGAGGCTCCCTCTGTTCCAGGAAGGATCTGAGCAGCGACCTGAGAGGTTCCCAGCTCTGCTTCCAGCTCCTCCAATCAGAGGCCAGGCAGCTTGATGTGAGGCCAGGGCTCCGGAAAGGTCAAGACCCCTAGCCATGTGGCACAGTGGTGGCTGTGTGGCAGTGTTCCTACCTACCACATAGGCAATCTGGGTTCAAGCTTCAGCTGAGATGACTTAGGGTGAGTGAGGTAACAAGAAGCAAATCTTCTTCCAGTGGAAAGGGGCCATTGTTTCTCCCCCTCCAGGTACCAAGGCCCTATGTTTCCTTGACATTTTGCATTTTGTGCCTTTTTATATTTCACCAACCCGTATTGTTTGTTCTGCTGTTTATATTTTGTTAACCCTGTTTTTTGTCAATGATTGCAAGTGTCTAACCTTTGTTGAATCCTGCCCCCTTGGGGCATTGTAGTGTCCACTATACCCTCTGATTTATGCCTGTTATGTTCCCAGTATTAAAAGGCATATGGTTAAGTCCCCATTGGTGGTCTGGCTCTGCTCTATAGGGGGAGGAGAGTTCCTACACCTCCCACAGCGCTTGTGCACCTGCTTTGATCCCTTCAATTGCAGAGGGGGTACCTCTTGGAGTACCGCCTAGGTTACAATTCTTTGTACAAGTATCTGCTTATTCTATTAGTATACTTCAGAAGCAGGTTTTTGGAACAGTGTTCCCATTATGGACATGTATAAGATTGTCATATGGTCTTCACTGCTTATCTTTACAAAACATGCTGTAGTTCAGAGCTTGTACTCTTCTGCCTTGACTTTCATTCCATGTTTAGGAAGATGCCAAAGTTCAGCCACCTGCAGTGGCAACTGCTGCATCTTCCCCTATAGTGGGAATGTATATGTGTACGATCACTCCAAAGAGAAAATGTGGTTATTTACCTCTGTGGTAACTGTTATTTTTCAGTACATGTCTTGCACCTTCCCTCCCTCCCTGTATCTTCAGGGTGGTTGTGGGACACATGCATGGCCATCTGCAATATTCCTTTTTAAATAAGGTAAGGGCAGTTAAGTTATTTTGCATTATTGGCTGAGGGCACAGGAGCACACAGGCTTCATGCTCTGCCCCAGAAACATGGGTGGCCAAAGAGCTTGATTCTCATGCACTGAGTATACATACCTTAACAGTAGAAGGTATATGTGCACAACCTGTCTCAAAGAGCAACATTTACTATAGAAATAAGTAACATTGATTGTCATCTAGCCATTTTTGTTAGTTCTGTGGTACATGCAGCAGATTATTAACTGCATTTTGTACTATATTAAGGAAATGTGCATGCTTAGTAGAGTTCTCACCCAGTATTTTTCTTATGGGCCATGAAACACATACTGCAACAGTTATCAAGCAAGGATGGTTGAAAAATGTTCTAGGCAGTAATGAAAAATATCCCAAACCAGTATTTTTTTTAAAATGTTCCCAAATACAACATGCATTCAATTTCTGAATACCAACTGACTATTAAAATGTATTTCCTTATAGCTATATGCAAAACATATATCCAATGCCTAGTTAAATGTCAAACATGATTTTCAGTCATTTATTTTATTAACATTCAACTGTCTTATTTAATGTAAATTAAATGTACATTAGGGAACTTTTGTATAAGGCATTATCAAAATATGCCTTTCTGATAAGAATAGAACAAGTGGCAAACCTTCAGTAAATCAGGAGATTATAGCCACCACAAGTACAATAGTTTTCCATCTAGATGGCCTTCTGAAATAAAACAGGATGGAAACTACTTGGGGGTTCAGCACCGCTAAGAATCAGGCCCCACTCACTTCTTAAGCAAGTGTCTAAAGAATCTAGCTTTAGAAACTCTTGTTTGAAAATCTTGGCAGTAATATCTTATACATAGGGGATTTGTATTGAACACCATCTGTAAAGCTTCCACCGTTAACAATATGGATTCTTTTTAAATGTTATGTTTATAAAAAAAGGCAACTGAAATGACAGAATTCTTTGTCATACAGTTCTCACATATAAAGCTAGAGAGTATGCTATCCCAAGATGTACACATAGCTCTTTTTCACACCATCAAAAGTAACATGCCTCAAGAAGAAAATGTTAGTGAAAAGTTCAGTATGCAGTTCTCAGGCTGGTTTCAGGTAACTAGTGCTAGTACAGTGAAACATCCATTTACATGAAGCTACACAGAGTTGACAATGTGATTTTCATACCCATTGCAGATACTCAACACAGATTATCTCACCACTAACTAATATTTCCACACAAATGAGGTCCCTTGTTGCATTGTATGGGCACTAGACGCTCTCATTATCTCATGTTAAAGATGATATTACTGCAAGTCAGTTGTACAGAAGGACTGTAAGCTATAACACTGACATTAATTCACAGGTTATTTATTTACACCTTAATTATCAGTCATTTTGCTTCATCTACCAGTTTTTGTTGAACCAGAAGTAAAATTAAAGAAAGAGAACAGTGACAGAGAATCAGTGTGCAGACTTTTAAGTTCTCATTGTCCAGACACGATAAATTAATTAAAAATTGTAATTGGGGTGTATTTGGTACTTTTTTCCCTACCCAACAGTTATTTTATAACGCAGTTTTCATTACTAATTTCTGGTAGAAGAATGATTTGCTTAAGGCATGGCTACAGTGCCAAAAGCACTGACAAAAAGCATGCCCTACTCATTCACACTTGCTCATCATGAACCAAATCCCAGAAATGAGGCAGTGTAGTCAATTTAATATATCCCTAAGCATGCTGATCAGGATTGAGTAGGCATAACATGCTTCTGGGTAGTATCCCTGGGTCCCCCACAGTGAGAGTGTCCTCGTGAAGAATTATGAAACCAGCCTTAAAGTGGACTTCATTGTGGAGCATAGCTCAAGCTGCTGTGTTACGAAGGCACAGTTGCAAAGATATGCCTCATTTTGATACAAATGAAGCTTTTGATTTTATGAAGTTGCTTGTGTGGCTGTTAGCTGGAGAAAATTATTATGTCCTAGATTTGTGCTGTTACCAGCAGGAGGGAGAGAAGTCTATAGTGACAAAGTTAGGTGATCAGAGGAAGCAAACACTTACACTGTTTTTAGAATTCACAGATTTATTCAATGGTGGAGGTTGCATAATGAGAACTCTAAGAACTACATATATGTTGTGGTTTCCTCTTTCAGTTATAAATATATATTTTCATCTTGGTGCTTTTCCTTCCATAGTAAACAATTATTTTTTCTTTATTTCACTTTTATCATCACCTTAAAATTTTATTTCACCTATGAATGTACATAACATAAATTCTTTAAATTGTTTTTGGAACAAAAACAGGTGAACTTAGAGTGAAAGAGCCGAAGTTTCTTGATTATGAACTCGAAAGCAAAATACATCTTACAGTTTTGGCTGAAAATGGCTTGACTTCAACACTTTGTGGCATAACAGTTTTGATACAAGATGTGAATGATAACGCACCTAAATTTGAACAAAGCTATTACAAAACATCAGTATGGGAAGGCCAAATCTACAGTACATACATCATGCAGGTAATGGGGAATATGTACTTATAAATCAGTTTCTCTAGTTAAAATTAGATTTAGCCAAACTGTGTCTATAGTCCAGCGAAGTATGTGTCAGACTTATACTATGCACATGATTGCAGTTGGCTACCTTCTTCAATACTATGATCCTTGTTTGGCAACTTGAAAGACTTAATTAATTTTGTCTCGATTTGATCTTCAGCTTCAGTTAATTTTTATCAAGATGGACCATTATCCTATGTCTGATTACTAAGTCTGCAATTAGTCATTAGTTCAAATATTTTGTTCAAATTTTTCTTTCCCTCTCTGTGCCAGATGAAGAGCAGTTCTTCCAACACCACTTTAGGCCATTTGTACGAGTGCTTAGCAACCATCATAGTTGCAAAGTTCTTTCTAGTATGCAACCTAAATCACCCTTTTTTCATTGTAAGACTATTACTTTTTGTCCTATCCCCAGTGGACACAGAGAACAATTAATCTTCATCCTCTTTGTATGAAGGGGATCCTTTTATATATAAAGATTATCTGATATGCTGTGGTTTCTAGGATCCACTATAAACCCCAAGTCCTACTGTAAAGTACTGGACCCTATTTAGCCATCTCATGTTTTGTGTTTGTGCATTTTATTGTTCCTTATTTAGTGTAGTACTTTGCACGAGCATCTACACATGCACAGTTACTGCACAGTAACCTAAAATTACTGTGCAATACGGGTATGCATCTATACATGCACACCTATCCTGCACAGTAACTATGGTGAATTATGCCACCTTGGGCATAAATTTGATATCTGCATGATGATGATCAAATTTACTCCTGACTAGTTACTGTGCAGTGACACATGTGTAGACAGCTTACTATGTAGTAACACCGTGTGGACTGATTTGGGACTAACTTTAGTCCCAATTCAGAGCACACACCACGTTATTGTGCTTTAATACCTGCATGTGTAGATGCCGGGCTATTTATGTTTACTGCACATCAAATTTAATGTGATGTAAATGCACGTATAGGTGTGTCCTGACCTGATTGTCCTTATTGAATTTTATCTGCTTTAGTTATTTTTCTAATTTATTGAGGTCCTTTTGAATCCTAATCTGGTCTTCTCTAAAACTGCGGTTATTTCACCCAGTTTAGAGTGATCTGCAGATTTATGAAACATATGCTCAACTGCATTCTCCAAGCCACCAGTGAAAATATTGAACAGCATCAGACCCAGAACAGACCTCTGGTGAAGTCACTTAATACTTCTTCCTAATTTGATGCTGAGCTATTAATGACTTCACTTTGAGCACAATTATAGAAAAAGGTTTAAACTATATGCTCTAATATTGTTTATGAGAATTCTGTAGAAGACATTCTCAAAGCCTTACTAAAAGTTAAGATATATCACATCCACTGCTCTGATTTTATCCACAAAGCCCATCATCTTGTCTTAGGTGGAGTTGAGCTTGGTTAGGCATGACTTGCTGTTGAAAAATCCATGTTGCTTGTACCTCGTTATGTTGCTACCCTGCATGTGCGTCCAAATTTGTTACTCTCCGCTATGTTTCTGGGTATAAGTGTTAGGCTGATTGGACTATAGCTCATTAGATCGTCCTTCTTTCTTTTTTTAAAGATGGTCACTATATTTGCCTTTTCCAGTCTCCTGGGACTTCATCTGATCTCCATTTCTCAAAGATAATAGCCAGTGTCTCTGATTACTTCCACAAATTAATTGAGTACTCTAGGATGACTATCATCAGGCCCTGCTGATTCCAAAACATCCATCTTATTCAAATAATATCTCATTTGTTCTTTATCTACTCTGTGCTAGGTATGCACCCATCCCCTCCTTGTCATCAGAGAGTTTTTGTGAAGACTGAAGTAAAAAGGCATTAAACACCTCACCCTTCTCCTTATCATTCATTATTAGCGTCTCCTGTTCCTTTAAGATATCTATTTTCCTCTGTCTTTCCTCTGATATCTAACATATTTATAGAATCATTTCTTGTTACTTACTATATGAATCTATAATAATCAAAGCCATACTTTCTCTTTTCTCCACTACCTGTCCTTCCTGAACTTACTATGCCCATCCAATTGTGTGAATTATCTCACCATGTCTATTTGATTCCAATTAGGCTATACTTTTCCTCATATTTTTTGTGTTAGTATATAAGTATTTAAAAAAACTAGATGAGTACTAAATTTCACCCTGACATCCTTGTTCAGATTTCCCTATATATCCTCTTCTTTCTGGGCCATTTTAAGGCTTTATTCAGGTCATCCTGCTCTTTACTTGCCTGTGGGCTTTTTATAGGTAGATTCTTGCTACCAGTAGTACATTTAAATATAATACCTCCAATGTGAGGGCACTTTTACACATGCTCCAGAGGTGGAGGGAGGGGCAGCACTTTAATTAGAGCAGCTCTGAGAGCCTAATTAAAGTGCCACTGCATCTCCTGTATCGGTGTCCCTGAGCTTAACAATGGCAGTGAGGGTGCTGGAACTAAGCTTGTTTGAGCTTTAGTTCACGTGCCCTTGCCACCATTTTTAAATGCAGGGGCGCTGATAAATGAGATGCTGGAGGCTGCTGGAGTGTGGTAATTGCCATGCTTCAGGAGACTCAACTGAGTCTTCTCTGACACACTGGAATCCAGCACTTTGGAGCAGTCTGTGCACTCTTATGTATAGGTGTCCTGAGGTACTAAATAAATATGTTTTAGGCTGGTTTAATGCACAGTAGTGAAAGTGCACACTTTTTTAGTAATGCTTATTGTTCAGTAGCTTATTTTACTGCTTATTAGCAGATTTTCATGTTTTTTTACACAGTGCTTTAATGCACAGTAAAATAAGCTACTGCACATTAAAGCACGTGTAGACATGTTCACTGAATTATGTATGTGTATATACACACACAGTATCTATACAAACAGTAAGGGGCCACATCTTTAAAATGAGTTTATTCAGCTAACCAGAATGGAAGTAAAATGGAAGTCAAATCTAACCATTCAGTCTAAAACAGGGGTGGGCAAAATGTGGTCCATGTGCCAGATGTGACCTGCCAGGCCATTCTGTCTGGCCTGCGGGGCCCCTAAAAAATTTAGAAAATTATTATTTATCTGCCCCTGGCTGCCTGTCACACGGCCCTCAATGGCTTGCCAAACTCAGTAAGCGGCCCTCCGCCCAAAATAATTGCCCACTCTTGGTCTAAAACCTACTGCGAAAGAACAACTAACTTATGTTAATGTAAGTGTACAAACAGTTCTTACTCTAAATGGGTCCAGTCTCCAAAAATATTTCCCTACCTGCTTATATTGGAGCTAAAGAGGGGCATGGTTTGGGCTAGAAAGGAATATGTTTTTCTCAATGAATGCCTTTCCATTGCAAGTCAGACCATAATGAAGGTCATGTTAGGTATCTCTGAGGATAAGTAAATAGACAGCAACAACTGTCCTGAGGGCAAAGCCATTAGGCAAATGAATGGACATAGTATTTAAAGGAATATATGTCCGCCACTGGGAAAAAAATCATTAGACAATCAGTCCAGTGCAACACATGGGAATCTTTTGAGAGGATAAAACTTCCTATATTCCTCTAATTAAGAGAAGCATACTTCTGGTCTAATCTGGATTATATACGTTATATCTCAAATTCAACAATAAGAAGTACAAGTGGGGATAACATAAGCAACATTAAAATAATTATTATATAAGAATATGGTAGTTCAGTCACCTAATGCTTTACTTCTTGGAATTTTGAAATCTTCAGCAGAATGCTCCAACCCAAGATGATGGAATCTTGTTATTTTGCAAAAACATTTCTGTTCACAGGTTGACTGTGAAGAGGTTGACTATTGTAACCTTGACTGGGAATAGGTTGACTACTGCAGCCTAACAGGCTGACTGTGAATAAGCTGACTGTTGTAACTTCCATGGCAATCACATACAAAATTTCGGTTGTAAACTATTTGACACTTCCTTTTAGTTTGTGTACCCAAAATGAAACTAACTGGGGGGACATGGCGGGGAATCTCTGATATAATGCTTTTCTTTGAGAAGGTGAAGTTGGCTATCTCTAATTATGGATTTTATTTCCAAACAGATTTTTGCAACTGACCTTGACAGTGGGCTAAATGGAGAAATTGAATATTCAGTTTTATCTGGTAATGAAAATAAACTGTTTCTTATTGATTCAGCACAAGGGATTTTAGCAGCGAATGCAATCCTGAATCATGAGGACATTTCATCATATAGGTTTGTGGTACAGCATCTTTATAAAATATATATTGATCCTCACTTTATTTACCTTAAGTTGATAATGTTTGTGCTGTCTATTTTTATAGTTTCATACTGCTACCCATCATTTAATAGCTGAAGGCCTGCAACGTAAAACGAATAGCGACAGCAAAGTCCATTATTGATTTTGTAGAGTCTCTGACACTGTTCCCTTTTTGGAGAAAAAGCATCATTTTCTTAAATCAGTTACAACACACACAGACATGAGCACTGTAGCTGATCTTCTCAGACACCTTATGCATGATGACAAGTGCCCACATGTGGAGAGGAGGGAACTGTACCAAGACAGTTGAAACAGATTTACTCCTTTCTTTGTTCACCTATAGGCAAAGAAATAGAACCATTTTTGACATAAAAGAGAATTTTAAATTATGTATATGAGTTCAGAGTTAAGTGATATAATTTTAAGTTGGAAGTAGAGCTTGAATTTCATTGTCCTGAGATGATGCGGCATTCCTGAACTTCTCTTAGCTACCTCTTGCTTTACAGTCTTTTATTTCTGCAAGAAAGCACAAGTTTCTAGGTAATAAGGATGAGGATAGACCCTTGAAAATGTGAACAAGTCGTTCACTAGAGTGAACCTCAACTGCTTATCGACGCATGCAAGAAAGGTAAAGTAGTATTATATTATGCCTGTCTTCAGAAAATGACCACTTTGACACCATGAGTGGATTGAATGTAAAGAAGAATATCACCACTTACATTTTCCCCAGTCAACGGGGAGCCACTGACTATGGGAGTTTTTGGAACCTAGTAAGGGCAAACGCAGTTCAGATATCAGACACAATCTTATTTTGAATAGCTGTGTTATCCACTAAAGAAAGTGCCTTGTTTTGCTTTCTGAAATATCGGGAGCTGAAAGGATTACCATATTATTGTCCTTTTCCTCCCTGGTTTAGCACTTGAATGGAAATGTCTTGAAATCCAGTTGTGTTGTCCTCTCAGGAAGATTCTCACTTCAGTAGAAATGTTATTTGAGCATAGAGTGGAGGGGCGATCCTTTTCAGAAAAAAGGACATTTCCCTGATTTCAGCTTAATTTGCACGAATTCCACAGCTGGTTCTCTGCATAAAGCAAGTCAAGTCAATATAAACACACAGTGTGCTGCTGACTTCAGAAACAGAATCATTTTCTATGCAATACTTAAGGTTGATTTTATTTTTAATTTTGCTAGGACTGTTATCCATATACTAAATAGAATTCATGTGGAGGGTACAAGCATTGTCATCTATCAGCTGTTCTTTGTTAGTTTTCTGATATTTCTCCTGCAGTTTGCCACTTAACATGCCTTTTTATTTTTTTACAAATTAAACCATGATTAGAAGTCAAAGCAAACAAATAATTATATGAAGAGAAGGTACAGGCGTATTGAATGATTAGCATACCAATCTAGTTTATATACTGCAGTCTTAAAAAGAAAAGTACCTAGATTACTGTATACTGTATCATTAGAATTATGATTTTTTCCATATGACTGTGACTAAGACACTTAGACTAAGCGTAAGTCACTTGAAAGTTTTCCTTTCCTCTGGAGACTCAGACTTTTCCTCATCCAGTCATCATTCTTAAGAGCCATAATAGTTTTTGGAAAATCATATAGACCAACACAATATGATTGCTTTTAAATATCAGTGTAATTTAGTAATAGACACCTATGGGAAGTATTTTATGTGAACTTATTGTTTGGAGTCTAGAAAATTTCATTTGAAGTTTATTTTTATTTTTCTCCTAAGTCAAAAGCATCTGTGATTTTTAGTGTATCTATGACAACTAAATATGCTTTGTTCCCTCAAATACTACTTTAAAAGAATATTGGAATAAATATTCTGAAGAAACAATTCACTGTTAATGAAGCATTAAATAACTAAACAGAATGATATATCCATATATCTTGAACACTGAGTTTTCTTTTATTAATATTTAAGTTTGAACCATTTAATAAGTTCATTTTTAATGAAATTTTGTTATAATTTAAGTTTTTATATGCTCCCCCTTAATAAGCTATGGATTGTTCTTTTACTGAAAGAACTTAGAAGAGCAGCAAAAATGTTGTTTTAAAAAATGTTTTCTCTAATTTCAAAATGGCATCATTGCTTTTTTTTCAAAATTTGGAAACAGTCGCTTATTTTAGCTAAATCAAATATTTTCTTCCCCAGAAGTTCTAAGTTCCCCAAAATAGGGAGTTATACTACAAGTGCTGACAGAAACTTAATTTTAATGTCTTGGCTGAGATGTTTTTATGAGATTTTTTTCACTGAAACCTTAGAAAGTGATTATTTTAGTAAAATATTTCCATATGTACCTTGCTGATATTCATTCTAGACAAAATATGCTTTCTATACAGAATTATACATGGTCACCAGTTAAATACAAGCCTGTGAAACTAGTTATGTATGCTGTTGATGTCATAAACCGCAGGAGCACCCAAAGCACAGTTTGTGTGATTCAAGAATCTACAGCTTAAATTACAGCACTGGTGTTCCATATTGTAATATAGATATTAAGAAAGTCACCATTTAGTTGTCACTTCAGTCAACACTGTGACTCAGAAGAATGATCTGCAAGAAAGACTGACAACATCGTATATCACAAAAATGTTTGTTTTATAAACATTCAATGTTTCCTAGTTCCAAAATGTTTATACATTTAATTGGATTGACTTTTTGATCAACTCTTTTAAAAAAATTTTTAGAGCAGATACTAAACTACCTTAGGTTGGCTACGTTCCACAGAGGTAAATTTGATCTAATACTGAATTCCACTTCTGCAGAGTTTGGGTTGCTTATGATAAGCAATAGGGCCATGAGAAATTTCACCGTCTGTTTTGTTTTGATGTTGTTTTGACTTGTTTTGAGCTTGAAACAGCAAAATTGAAATGAAACAGCCTCAGAATGAAACAAGGGCAGTCAAAATGTTTTGAAACTTTCAAAAAGTTTTGAGTTTTGAAGCTGAAGCCGGACTTGCCTGCAGAGAAACAGAAAGTAAGGAGAGGGAGGGGTAAAAAGGGGGAAGGACATGGTGAGGGCATGCCTTAACACACACACTGGAGAAGAAGCTTCTGCAGGAGAGAAAAGCAAGGCTCTGTCACAGTTTGGCTGCCTGAGATGCTGCTGGTGCTACTGTGCTGCTTACTAAGTTATTACCTGTTCTCATTTAAAGTAGTGGACCAGGCTGAAGCCGTAGAGGAGAAGGAGACCTCATTGGGGCACACTACTGTGTTGTGTAGAGGCCCCAGCGAGGGCATGCCTACACACACACACACACACGCGCGCGCGCGCACGTCATGAGTTTTGCTTGTCAGCAGCTTGAGGTGCAGTTTCCCAGAAACCCCTACACCTATTTCCTTGACAGCTGGCAGGCTTCATGGCCTCATCAGGGGCTACCATGCCTGCAGTTTTCACCCCACTGTGTCTTCACATGTACAAGTGACATGAGTTTTGCCATCAAGATTTTGAGGTGCAGTTTCCCAGAAACCCCTGCACCTATCTCCTTGAAACATGGCAGGTTTCATTCCTTCAGAAGGGGCTGCCATCCCTGCTGTTTTCATCCAGATCTGCCAAAAAATGACAAAAATTTATAGGCAGTTTTGTGCTTCCCCATTATAGCCTATAGGTGAAACATCAAAACAACTAAACAGTTTCAATGAAATGAAACAGAACAGTGCTTTTAAAACAAAACAAAACTCAGAACAAAACACTGTCCCAGTGAAACAGCGAAATGGAAGTTGAAAAACAAAACGGTGCTGTTTCACACAGTCCTCATAAGCAATATGTTCTTGATGATGTAGAAACTAGTTCTAAGAAATGAAATCTTTGTATGATTTTTCTTCTTGAATGGATCACTATTATCTATCTACATAAATGGAATTCAAAGTAATTTTAATAAAATTCAAGGCATTTCCTTGTGTAGTAAGCATCGGCATGGGACAGTACACTGATGATAAAGTTTGGCTCCGTTAAAGTCAGTGAGCTCTGAGAAGGCCAAAGTTTACTATAAGCTCTTAGTGTCAATTAGGAGTAATTTCAATAGTTAAACAAAGATTCTTAAGGAAGTTGTTACTTTGTTTCAATATGAGCCCAGTATGTCTTTGCCACCTGGAACCTCTTGGACTATGTCCTTATAAGCTATCCAAAACCAAAAAATTCCAGTTATTCATTTGTACGCTGGAAATTAAAATGCAATTTTGGAAACGCGCTTCCAAGAAGAAAGGAAAGTATTAGGTATTGTCCTCATATTTTTACTTTTTCTTTGAACATTTGATAATATTGTTGACCAAGTCTGTGATTGCTGGCTGACCATGACAACTGTGGCTTCCTTTCAATACTAGGTTGGTTGTACAAGCGACTGACAAAGGAAACCCCAGACTTTCTGCTACATGTATAGTAACAATACAGGTGGTGGATGTTAATGACAATGCCCCAGTTATCCAGGCACCAGGCAAAGTACAGGTATCTGAAAGTAAGTATGGTGGTATGGCAAGAGTATTATTGCTGTTAGGGAACATTAAACTGAATGACTGCCTTCCATGGTTTTTGTAACAAAATGTTAACACTGGAAAAACCTCAGCCATGACAAAACTAACCTTAAGATATTGAGAAAAACAATCTTCTTTTATAATTCCTGGATTCCACTGTCACATTCCTAAGACATTTTTTACATTCGTCTCTCATTTGTAATAGAAACATTCACTCTTAAGATGAAAACATTGGAATTTTATTATTTACCTAAATTACTTAGGTCAGAATTTTCAAATGTATTTGCCTGATATTCAGCACTAAATCTGTGTTTGACCATTCTAGTAAAGTCCCTTATTTTCAGGGACACTCAGCATCCAGAGCACTGCTTGACAGGGTATCATAGCTGCATGGGCAGATCCAGTATCATGCAGCCACACTGTCTTTGGCTGTGCAGTGCATGTACAATGAGCTCTCAGCTCACCAGCATGTCAGTGCAGCTCCTTCTGAAGCTGCATACATGTTGTGACCTTTATGAACTCACCAGCTGATCAGAACAGGCTGTGGCTGGATCCCAGTGAGTACTGTTTCCTTCATGCCCCCCACTCTACTGAATTCAACAGCGAGGGAAAAGAGGGGACAGGTGGCAGTAGCATCCTATGGGCTCTGGACTCTTTGTGAAAGCTGGGACTGCAGCTGGAGCTGGCCCTGGTCAGAAGGTAAGTTCATAGCACTCACGCCACATGAGGAACTCTGTAAGGCAACATAGCCAAAGGAAGATGGGACAGTGAGTGCATTTACATGAGATGCTTGGTGTGCAGTAGAGTAAATCTACTGCGCATTAGTGCACCATGACAAAAGCTGTGCTAATGCACTAATGTGCAGTAGAAGTAATCTACTGTGCACTAAGCATCACAAAAAGGCCATGAGCCTTTGCTCCTGCGCAGTAGTGTTGGCTACTGAGCATATAGTGAGTACCTCATATTAGAGGTACTAAACTTAATGTGCAGTAGCAACGGCACATGTAAATGTACCCTGTGCCCCCGCACCTCCTGGATCCCTTCCTGCATAACTGTATTTTATATGGCAGTCTATAGTAAATTGCAAATTAACACTGAGATTTCTAAAGACTGAACCAGGGTTATTGCACTTTCTGTGCCTGGATCTTGCATTTACTCTAGGATATACAACTAACCTGTGCTAAAAATTATATATGAAGATTGAAAATAAATATTTCATAGATTTCATAAACATTTGGGCTGGAAGGGACCCCGTAGGATCATCGAGTCCAGCCCCCTGCCCCAGGGGCAGGAAGTCAGCAGGGATCATAGGATCCCAGCAAGATAAGCATCCAAGTGTGTCTTGAAGGTGTTCAAAGTGGGTTGGTTCAAGCAGCTGGAGGTGGTTCAAACCTTGGGGGCTCGGACAGTGAAGAAGTTCTTTCTTATGTCCAGCATGAATCAGTCACAGTGGAGTTTGTGACCGTTCGATTTTGTCAACCCTTGGGGGGCTCTGGTGAACAGATGTTCCCCCAGATCCTGATGAGCACCTGATAAACTTATAGGTGGCCACCAGATCACCCCTGAGCCTGTGCTCTTCCAGGCTGAATAGCCCATGGCTCTCAGCCTCATATCATAAGGTCTGTTTTCCTGACCTCTGATCATGTGTGTGGCTCTACTCTGCACCCTCTCAAGCTTATGCAATATTTATCTACCCTATGCTTTTTAAATAACTGATAACTATTTTGAACATTGTTGTTTCAGATGCCCCACTTGGTTTCTCTGTTACTCAGGTATTAGCAAATGATATGGATTTAAGCCCAGCTCTTCTCTATAGTTTTAGTGACAATGCTAATCCTGCAATTAAATTTGCTATCAATCAGTACACTGGAGTAATCACACTTATGGAGCCATTGGATTTTGAAGAAGCTGCTCAGTATGAGTTGTGGATCAGAGTTTCAGATTCCATATATGAAACAGAAGCACAGCTCACTATTCATATTTTGGATGTCAATGATAATCCACCAGTGTTTACTCAGGACTCATACCAGGTAAGAATGTGGCAAATCTGTAGAATTTAAATATGTCACTAAATGGTCATATATATACATGCACACACACACACACACATCACCCTTGAAAGGTCCTTTTTGTGCTCTTGAAAGATGCATTTGAATACCATGAAGAAGGAATTTCTGTCTGTCAGTGCTGCATCATTAGTAGCAGTGAAAATTTCTACATGCTCTCTTTCTAATGTATTTCAACTCTTATTTACTGGTCCTGTTTGTAGCACTGAGAGTATGTTCAGTTTTTGTACTCATTCATTCCTTAAGCTCAGTGTTGACAAAACTATATTTCTGTAGAGGTGCCAGTTAGAGCTAACTGCTTTTATGATATAAGTAGCAATGCACAAGGCACTTTTTTGAGACCATGACACTCTGCCACCGTGGGCTGCCACACAGCATCAGATGACAATACTATCCAGTTGATGCTATTTTATACTGGATTTGAATAGAAAAAAAAGTGTCTTTGCAATTTTGGGATCATGGATCAGATCCCAAACGTATTCTACTTCCTAGTGCAAGGGGAGCGTGGGATCATCATCCTTGGACCCGAGCTTGGTGCCTGACAATCTGCTGATTGTTAGGTGGACCAGGACATCACTGAAGCTCCAGGTGGCTTCAGCAAATTCAGTGTGGTCCCTGCCAACCAATGATCAGCTGATTGCTGACTGATTGGGATTGCACCAGGCAGGACTGGCTCCAGTGCTGTCGTGGATCCAGCCAGCAATCAGCCAATTGCTGACCAGTGGAGACTGCACCTGGACCAGTTGAGACCCCTGATGTGTTTTTTGGCTGGTTCCCATTGTTCAACGTAAGGCACAATGGAAACCAGCCACAAAATTACTGTATTTACTTGGATACAAGACAACCTTGAATATAAGGTTATCCTCCAGTAATTAGATTCTGTATATGGAAAATTTATAAATCTGTTATAATTTTCTGGATGTAGAATCTAATTATCGGAATGTTGTCTTGAATTAATCTCCCTCCTGCTGCTACAGCAAGAAAATAGTGGCCACATTAATCTCATATGACAGGCTAAGAGAGGGAGGAACAGAGCCTCTCAGCAACGTAGAAGATTGGTGATATTTACCAAACAATTTAAGGCTTGTGAAGAAACATGCATCACTGGAAATGGGAAAGAAAGGCACGTTCAGCTGCGGGAATGAAGAGGAAATCAAAATATATTTGATGTAATGGCTCACCATGACTTGAAAAAGAGTTAGCACTGAGGGAGACTGAGTACAATGGGCATTATGTCTTATTCAGATGGCTTCACTAATCTATTTTTGTGGTAGGTTCCTAGCAGTGTGTTTGCCCAGTATGGGCCATGTGTTTTATGGGCATGCTCAGGATGGGCAGCATTCAATCAACTTCATAGTAGGTTTGCATGACTGAGCCCATGCTGCTTCTGACAGCAGTTAAATGACAGCCAGTAGAGTTAATGGGAGGGCCAGAGGGGCAGGGTTGCTGGTATGTGAATATAGAATGAGGGGCTTTTTTTCTTCTTGCTGATTGGGAGGGAGATAAACCTCATATTCAAGTAAATTATGCATATTTTCTGGAATAATGTTGTGGCTTATTTCGTGTTTTATCACACCATTAATTGCCTGAACATGTGACCAGGTTGCAATTTGAACCACAATTAACTGGTGAATCACAGCTCAAGTGTAACCTCTGCCAGGGGGCTTAGTCCCCTAGGCCTAGATATGAGACTTAAGGGGTGTGTCTACACATTCATCAGTGTGCCTTTGCTACTGCACATTAAGTTGAGTACCTCTAATATGAGGTACTAGATAAAGACACAGTAACTGTGCTAATGCTCAGTAGCAAAGGCAAACTTTTTGTGATGCTTAATGCACAGTAGACTAATTCTATTGTGCATTAACACACAAGCATAGTTTTTACCATGACACACTAATGTGCAGTACAACAGTCTGCTGCACATTAAGATGTCTTGTGTAGATGCATCCAAGCATGGCAAAGCTGAATGAGACTATGTCTAACTTTTAGGTGCCCATTTCCTAGAATTAGATTCACAAACACAAGTAAAGCTTCCCTCTTCTTTTACAGTACCATATACAATATATGGGGAAAGTTAGGTGCCTAAGAATAGAGTTCACAAAAGCCAGTTCTCTGAGTACGGAATGCCTGAGCCAACCATTAAGAAATGTCAGAGGAACATGGCTGAAATACCAGCTCCCTTCTACTTTTCTGTAGCAGCATGTACATGGCATAGGGATTCACAATTTAGAATCATCTTACCGACTTAAGCACATAAGTCATCCCTTTAAGTAGGGCAGACTAGATCACTCTTACAACACAAAAAAGAGGTGCTGCCACCGGCCACCTTTTTCATAACAATCTAGTGATTAGAGTACTTATCTAGGGAGAACTTGGTTCTTCTAGTCCCTCTTCAGTGTGACAGAATTTAAGCTCATGTAGGGAAGGAGCTGACATAAGATGGACGGGCAGTCTAGTCCTCTCCTATTGAAGTTGTGTCACTGTGTAGCCAAGAATGTCAGATTCACAGGATCACAGAAAGAGTGAGGCAGAGAGAATGAGCATGTTAGATTGAGTATAACTAGCCCAGTGATGAGACCCCTGCCTTGTATAACAGGGGAAACTTGGGCTCTGATTCATGCTTCCTAAAACTTCTTATGAATTTTACATTAAACATCCAGTGGATAAAAAGCATAACATGAGGATCAGGGACAGGAACCCAGGACTTTTCCTCCTCTGGGGAGTGCATACATCACTGGGCTGCTGTCATGCTTGCTCTTGCTCGCTTGCTCTCTGGCCCCATGAATCTTGCATTCTTGGCTTTACAGTTGCTCATCTCCAACAGGAGCCGTGCAGGATACTCCTACCTTTGCCCATAGCCTGGTAGGTAGGGCACATTTTTGGGAGTGGAGAGATATAGGTTAGATGAGGACTTATAATCTGGGTCTCCCACTTGGGTGAATACTTTAATTACTAGGCTATTACATAAAGGTCCACCACTATGATGTTTAAGTAATTTGTCAATGGTTGCTGTGCTTAGTGTAGAACCTCAGACAGGTTCTTAATATAAAGTGGGCGTGAAGATGCTCAGTTCAGCCAAGATGGAAGTACCTCTGGGCATGTGCAATATTAGAAATTTAGTTGCCTAAATATCATAGTTTCTCATGCATATCCTGCACTTTTTTTCCCAAAAAAACAGCTGCTTGAAATTGGAGAGCTCATTATATGTGAGAAATATGGTAAGAGTGGTTTCTGATGCTTAGCAGGCAAAAGTTAAGTCTGCAATCCACAGGGAGCAGAACAGTGAGCAAGCCTAGCTCCCTAGCTGCTGCTACTCAGTTACTTACTACAAGGATAAATTGTGGGGGGAGGGGAGGGTTCATTATGTCTTTAAAAAAACAATGTTTGTATCTTATTCTGCAGTGTATTTTGTGCAAGAAAATATGGTAACTTTATTGGCCAAAGCTTAGGCATCTAAGAGTGCATCTACATGAGATGCTTTACTGTGCAGCAGACTAATTTGCTGTGCAGTAGAGCATCACAGTCCACATGTGCACAGCAATTAGGGTGCAGTAGATTAATTTAGTGTGCTGCTGGATAGTCCCATTAGTGGTATCTGGCAGTGCAGTAAATTACTGTGCTTAAATGCATGTGTAGACGGTGATGCCAGAATTAGTTTACTCTGTCTCATATTGAGCCGGAGTATATTCAGTCACATTAATTGCATTTGTAGAGGCACTGTAAGTGATTATGTGGGGCTTCTGTGGATCATTCACATGAATTTAGGTGCCTACATTTTATATGCTCAAGTGTTTGTTCTGGATCTGGCCTTTAAGCCTTCCCTATCTCTCGTGTCTTCTGGTTTTGGAAAATGGTATAGGCAAACATTATGTACTAGTACTAAGAATATTTGTGCAGATTGATATAGACATTACAGGCAAGATTATTAATCAGTGTAAATCAGCCTTGCTCCATTGGCTCTGATAATATAAACCAGCTGAGTTTCTGGTCCAAAGCTTTTTTATCTCACTTTTACCTAAAGTAGAAAGGCATATCTCATTCCCTATTCACAGCACAGAAATTTTATTGTGCTCTCACATTTTCATATTTATCCTAAATATGCATTTAACTAAATACAAATGCAACTCATGTACTAATAATGCAAACTAGATGCTTATCTTTTGAAGTCATGACATAGGTAACTGTTGTATCATATTCATGTCTGAAATCTGATTTAAAAGGTGCCAGAAAATTTTGATCACAAAAATAACACATCTGGGCTTCACATAATGAAAGCTCTTTAAAAAACAAATTTGTTTCCTGATTTCCTAGATTCTGGAAAAAAGAAAGGGGCATATAACTTAAATTATAACATTATAATTTAAATTAAATTATAACATTCATAACGACACTTGGATTTTTTAGAGTATATAAGAATCTTCTAAAGTAAATAGAGACTTCAGAACAGCCTCCAAATTCTATTCCTGAACTGAAAATATGATGCAACTGAAAGGAAGGAGAAGTGTTAGTTTTAGCTACAATATACATTACCTTATTTCAGTAAATGTATGTCTGACTCAATACATTATTTCACTCAGAAATGAAATATCTACTGAATGGATCTATTAATCACCAAGTTCATTCTTTACCTTGGATTCATTTCTTGCATTATTTATAATGTCTCAGTTTCTACGTTTTCTTCTCAGGTGAAAGAAATCAGGTGAAACCTTTCCCAAAGCTGGGAACTGTATTTGTTTTCAATAATCAAACTTTTAAAAAGGTACTTTGCTATTTACAACATTTTATATGTAACTCATACTGCTGTTTACATTCCAGGTAACAGTACCTGAACTCACACCTGCAAATACCACTGTTTTGACGATCTCTGCTATAGATAGAGATTCAGAGCACAATGGAATTATTTGGTACAAAATTCTGTCTTCTGATGAGGGATTTTCAATTGATTACAAAAATGGTGAGTCTGTTATATGGTTTGTTATGAAATAAGGACATATTGTATAGATTTTTTCTGGTCGCTGAATTTTAGATATCTTTGGTAACTTTCATCCTGTATCAGTTATGCATGAGTCACAGTGCAACAGTGACTTTCACAATGTTCATGAGAGCTGAAAACCTGATGGCATGTTGGTCCATAGCACTTTTGTTTTGGGTTCCCACAGTTGTTCCTCACAGTCCACACTTGACTTCCAGATACTAAGGGGAAGGGAAAGAACGTAGATTTTCCTCCTCCCACTCTCTCTACTCTGCTACAGCAGCAAAGTACAAAGCAGAGAGTTACAACATCCTACAGAAACTATTCTTTATTGTGATTTAACTGGAAATCTACTGTAACTTGTGTTAGGTTTAATTTTGTTTCAGTTAAAATAATGTTTATGTGTATTTGATAACAGGTTATACTTGCTGCTACTATAATAAGAATCATGTAGTTGGTTTGCTTAAGTCTTATGTATTGAATAATTATGTTATGACTTGTATAATGCAGTACTCTGAAGTTGAATTGAAAATTAGGCTTTAGGAGCCATGTCTATATGAGACGCTGACTGTCTATACAAGTACTAAATGACTGTGCAGTAATGACAGTGTAATCAGCATCTTGTGTAGATGCAGCCATAATGTAAGACTTTTGTGACACACATCATTTTTTTCAGCAACCACCATCTAATTCTTCTAATTAGTTCTGACCTAAAATTTGTTGTACGTATCTTAACATATAGATAATTGTTGCCAATATTTTAAGGAATTATTAATATGCCCATTGGAAATTATCAGATTAGAAAACAGTGGACAGTTATTATTCAGTTTGAGCACATTCATATAAATTATTGCTATTCATGAGCATTTTTTTGAGTGCTAGTGTTTGGGTAATGGCAGTACATAAAAATATCTATGTACAAGTGCCTCACATAATTCTATTGTTTTTTCATGCAAGGAAGTTCACCATTTATCTGCCACTGTGAGCCTCTCAGGCTGGGTAAGCTATACATCTACTAAATAAATGAATACATTCTTCATTCAGCACTTTCCCTCTCTCTCTATTTATGTGTAACAACAACAGGAATATATAATACACACTATATTTTACATAAACTAATATATATTTAAGTATATATTTTATTACATATAAAACATATTTTTCCTGTTGTTAAAGTGTGAAGCAAGAACTAGAAGTAATTGAGCAAAGAAAATGGAATAAGGATCTAAGGACAGTCTCTTAAGTTTAATGAGGATTCAGAAAAGAAAACAGCTGGCTCTGGCTAGGAAGGACATTGAGGGAGAGGGGAAGGACATGAACTGCAGTCTGGAATCTAGAGGAGTGACACTAGATGTTGTTTGGTAAGGAGACCTGTGCAGAAGTGAGAAACCTGAGTCTAGAACTGGGTGAAAAGAAGGTAATTGGACTGATAGTAGGATGGGAGACTCAGGATTGTCAGAAGAGACTGCAAATAAATTCCGGAATACATTGCTCCAGAGTTTATTCGTGCGCAGCACACTGAGCCCAGTCAGAGCAGCCCAAGACTGCTCTGACTAGGATCAACATGCTGCAAAGGCGCTGGCTGGGGCACAAGGGTGCTTCAGCATGGATCAAGCTGGCAGGCAGCCCCTGCACTGAAGCATCCTTATGCCCTAGGCAGCTGAGCAGTGTATTTACATGTGCTGCTGCGCATGAAAAAAAATCCAGAGCAGGTGAGTACTTGTATTTACAAGTACAAGTACTCACTTGTATTTACAAGTACTCACCTGCTCCAGAGTTTACTAGTTTCATATGCCCTAATAGGAGTGCACATGTAGACACTGAGATGTTTACTGAGCAGTTAATAAGGCAGTTCCCCAGTAAACGTCTTGTGTAGATGCACCCTGCGACTAACTTGTTGAAAACAGGTTAACTGTCAAGGTGATATTTGTGGAGGCAGTGCCACACTGAAAAAATTATTTATAGGTTGTTGGCACCAGGTGTATGCTGGTGCTTTTCAGAGGATGGGGTTCCTATGAGATATTTACCACCCCTAGATGCTAGAAGAAACCATGGCACTGACTTAGCAGCAAGTTTAATCTTCTTTACTATAAGGTGTACCACTTGTTGGTGCTGCATGACCTGGTGGATCACAAGAAGATTCTTGTGCACAGATTTTGGTAGCACCAGCAATGTGCATGATGCTATAGGATTTGGGAGTTTTGGCATTTACTTGATTGAACAATCTCCACAGTTATTCCTTCCCAATGGCATAGTCATCAGCAGGGTGCAAATTCTCACCTGATGTCTGAAGCATCCTACCTACTTTGTCCTTTTGTGGCTGAAAAAGTCAAACCCAGACAATGTGGAGACATACATAACATTCACATATACTGTCAGTATTTTCAGAGTAGTGACTGAACATACATTTGAGAGACCAAAGGGAATAAAGAGGACACTGCCTCCCAAATCATCTGCATGCCAACAGTGGAAACACTGCACATAATAGTGGCCTTCTGTGCCCTCCACAATGTGTGTGGGGACAGAGGTGAGGTTTTTTTCATGGAGTGTATCCAGCACAGTCTTGGACCCTGTAAGGGATCCCCATAGCTTGAATGCCTCCCAATAAGCAGTATGGTTTCTGGCTTTAGGGAACCTAGGGAAATTAGGGATGCAGTATGTGCTTACATTGCTGGCACACGTGATGATTAATTGCCTGCCAACACATGTGCAGATGTCTTCAGACTAGGAGTTGACTTCCAGAGCCTTCCATGTCCTGCTTTTCCAAAGTGCACGTTGCGCTTTGCTTCCACCAAGGTAGCTGCTGCTGCTCTCTGTTCCTGTCCGAGAACATTAAATATTTTACACTTTTCAGTTGTCTCATTGATTCCTGTCATGATTTCTGGAGGGTTTTTTGAGGAGGGGAAGGCAAGGCCTTTGAACTTCTATTGACCTTTTAGGGTCCTTAGTAGGTGGGCAGTTTGCTCAGTCGTGAGCCATTGAATAAGAGTGGTTTTATTTCTTAGCCTTTGAGGGGCTATACATGAAGTTGGGTAGGTGAGGCCTTTTGCATGCCTTTTTATGACCAGTTTATTGAGTCATTTGTCTCCCACTGGACTTAATGGTCCTTAGTGAGTGAGCAACTTGCTCAGTTGTGAGTCAGTGAATGTGATTAACTTGGATTCTGCTTAGTCCCTGAAGAGCTTCATAGGCATTAGAGAGCAGGTTATCAGTAGCAATGTATGGCCTTCTTCCTGCTTGGAGCAATGGGGCTTTGATTCATGCATTGCATGAACTGAATTTTCTTCTTTAGTTCTTCCAGTAAAACATTTTTCTAGGAGCCAGTTCCCTTTTTGCATACACTTAGTAGGTTGACAGGCAAGAGACTGAATTCAATGGGAAATATGAGTAAAATAAATTACAAGCACCAAGATGCAAACAAAGCAAAATAAAATGAAGATAAAACTGAGATAAATAAAATGAAAAAAGAGATGCGAACTAAAACCTCCAGGTCAAAACTGCCAAGCACACAATGCAGCTAGACAAGAGACAAAAATTCTGCAGGTTGAAAACAATGAAGAAAGTGCACCCCAAATTAAAACACTGAGGCAATGTCACTCACAATAGATGCAAGTGATGTGAAAACACAAAATGAAAACGTAAGTCATCCAAGGACTTCAGGTGGAATTAAATGCAAAATTAAAATAGACAGATCCACAGTCCACCCAAATAAACTAGGTAAAGAATCTCACAGTACTGCCAGTGAACAGAATACACAGTTCACCAAGAACTGCTTACTAGAGAAGTGTCCTAAGATGCAGGGAATGGACTGAGACCCCATTAATGTTGCCTGCTGCTTGCAAGGCTGGCTGTTGTAGAGAACCTCAGCGAACTCTTCATGACATCCTTAGTCTCCGCAGTTCCAGGAACTGGCTGCTTGCTCAAGACAAATATCCTCTCACTCTGATCACAGAGGCAGGCTGAAGAGTAGGGTCATGAGAAAGGAATGCTTGGAGCTAAGAGCACTAGCAAGTATCTTCTCAGATTCCTCATAGTAGAGGCATCTCATTGTTGCATTTCCAGAGCACATGTTGCCCTTTGCCCGAGTACGCTGGGACTTTCTTCAGCCCCAGCACAGAGTCCTTGTCTAGTGAATCCCTAGCACTACTTGCCTCAGAGAGATGGCACTATAAATGGTAGAATGCTTGACTTTGCAATATTAAGAAATTTAATTTCTTCTCATGTAACACACACACATCTGATTGGCTCTTCAAATGTGTCTGTACAACATAGGCTCCTATTGGCTGTAGGTACTTTAATTATTGTGGCTTTACTTATTATATTATATTTTATTTTCAGGCTCAATATTCACTACCCAACCAGTGACATACTCAGGCAAAAATTCAGTTATTCAGCTTCTTATTGAAGCCAAAGACAATGGAAACCCTGCTTTGACTGCTGTTACTTCAGTGGAGATACAGGTACAGGATGTAAATAACTATGCTCCTCAGTTTACCATGGTACTATATGATCTCAGCGTGAGTGAAGATGCCACAGTTGGAAAAACACTTCTTACATTTTCAGCCATTGACTATGATTGGGAGCATGACAATGCATATATTGAATATTCTGTTATCAGTGGCAATGCTGATAATCAATTCCATGTGGAAACAAGTGTTAGTAAATCAGAAACATCCTACAAGTTGGTTGCCAATCTTGTTTTGAGCAGGAGATTGGATAGGGAAACAGCTTCTTCTCACAGTTTGGTCATTCTTGCATTTGACCATGGAACACCTTCTTTGAAATCTACTGCTACTGTATTGATAACTGTACTGGATATTAATGATAATCCTCCAATATTTAGTAGTCTGGAGTATCACATTCATGTCAAAGAAAGTATCCCAACAGGTAGTCATATTATGATGGTCTCAGCCAATGACTCAGATGCTGGAACCAATGCTGAAATCACTTATAACATAATCTCTGGAAATGAGAAAGGCCTCTTTCGATTAGATGGAAAAACTGGCTCTGTAGATTTGATTAGAAACTTGGATTATGAGGATACTATGACATTCACATTGACTGTTCTAGCCTCTGATGGAGGTATCAGTGTAAAAAATGTGGCTTTTTCAGTTCTTTTCCTTAAAGTCCTGGATGACAATGATTATGCCCCACTGTTTTTGTTTCCAAGTCTAAACTGTGTTATCAGTGAAAATCTTCCTCCCTTTTCTTCTGTGTGCACAGTTAATGCACTGGATCTTGATACAGGTCCCTATGGACATCTTTCTTACTCCATCCAATCTTCATGTTTGACCAATCGTGGAATTCCTCGAGATCATGACATGTTTTTCATAGATCCTTTGACAGGAGATATCCATACAAAACAAATACTTGACTATGAAAGTCAAAATAAATATTGTTTCATAGCCCAGGCAAAAGACAAAGGTGACTCAATAGCTACCCTAACAGTTCAGGTGGATGTTGATGGGACAGATGAGTTTGATCCTGTTTTTACCCAAAATCAATATTTTTTTGACCTTCCTGAAAAAAATGAAGCAGGTCAATTGGTTGGCAAAGTGGTAGCATCAGATAATGATGGCGGACTGGATGGAATTATTCATTATTCCCTGCTGAAGTTTTCTGAGTTCTTTTCTGTGAATCAGACTAATGGGAATATTTACTTGACTAGAACACTTCACCGAAAGAAAAGCAATAACCAAAGGAAAGATGGCACCCTTGAATTCTTAATAAGAGCACACAGCCCAAAACTTGGCTCTAAGTCTACCGTATGTAGTGTATTAGTAAATGTTTCCAACTCTCCTGAGAGCTATTCTGTTGTATCTGCATACAGCCTGTCTGTTAGCCTTACTGTCTCCTTTGTGGTATTCCTGCTTCTTACCATCAGTCTTATTGCACTTATTGTGAGATACAAACGAAAAGACATGATGAAGTCCTGCATGAAAAAAGAAACATCATCTTCATCAGCTGCTGATTTTAATTTGACCAGTGAAGATAATCTCTCTAAGGACTGCCAGAAAATACAGGAAACTGAGAGAAGTATACTTCCCATGGGTTCAGTAACAGAATGGTTGAGTTTGGTAGGCATCAGAGAAAAGAAGGATATTGGTAATCCCTGCAGGCACTCAGACTCAAGTGGCCATGGTTCAGCAGAAGGAGTGACTGCTGAAGACGAGGAAATCAAAAGGATTAATGAGCACCCTTTTCGAGCGAGTTCTGGCTCAGCCTTAAGTGAACGAGGATCACGTGTGCCAGACTCGGGAATTCCAAGGGATTCTGACCAACTGTCCTGTCAATCTGGAGAAACTGATGTAGTGGTTGCCACTCAGAGTGCAGAGAGCATCCATGCCAACAAGGATGAAGGTGGCAGAGAACACTGTGACACAAACTATACCCATAAGAAAATGGTGTCTCAAACGCTTAAAAAAATAGGGATACAAGAGAAACACATAATGACAGATGTTACAAGAGAATATATCTTCATCTCCGGTCATCAGGACTCCCGACGTGGATCACTTGCGACCCTTGTAGCCTCTGACGAGGATCTCCAAGGCAGTAATAACTGGGATTACTTGCTCAGTTGGGAGCCCAGATTTCAGCCTTTTGCCTCTGTGTTTAATGATATTGCAAAACTGAAAGATGAAAATTTACAAATTCATAGCTTTCCCAACGAGAAGAAATCTTTTATTTTCCCACCTCCCTTGATCACATCAGTAGCTCAGCCTGGCATAAGGACAGTACCACCGCGAATGCCAAATATAATACCAGGGCAGACATTTAAAAACTATCCTCATTCTCCTGTTCTCCATAATATTAAATGTCCTGCACCAGCTATGACCCCCAGTTTTTCTCCTTCTCTTTCTTTACTTACCATGCAGACTCCTGCAATTTCTCCAGTAGTGTCAGATGTAGAACTGATTGAAATATGTCTGACTGGGCCAACTCATGAACTTGCAGCAGAGGAAGAAGTTCAAGTGTAGATTATCAATCACTGATAAAACATGAAAGGGACATCTGACTTAAAGTATGCTTTGCTGCTGCTTAGCAAGAAAAACATGCATGCCAGCTACATCATCCTGTATTTTCATTCTGTTTTTATGATATAAAATGTAATAGGTAATTTAGTTTTCAATTTTCTAACTACTTACCCTGTTCTTTGAAAATATACCCTAGATCTGTAAGGTTTTTCCCTTACCTATCTTATTCCATCTCTCAATTTCCATGGTTTCTGAAGCAGGTACATACCTAAGTATCATATAGTGAGTTTGACCGACTACTTTGTTTTATCAGGAGAGATCTCTGTAACAGTATATTGTAATTAATAATTTATTGTGGAAGATCTTAATTTCAAATGCTGGTTACTGGTCAGGGTGCCATTTAATACATATACTCTGGGTTAGGATTTGACTGTAGCCCTTGCTGTAGATCTTTGCCACTAGAAAGGAGACTCTGCCAGCTACCTGCAGACTCCATTTGTGTAAAGGAATCACACTTGATTTAGGGTTGATCTAGCAGCTTCTTTGTTGCCCCCTCTTTGCTCTTATGAATGTTCCCAAGAAGCCATTATATCTGACTGGGAATGTGGCTACTTGATCATCCCCTTAGGGATATGGGAAACAAGGTGTAAAATAAAAGCAGTCTACTTCCTCTGAATTCTGTCAGAAGGTGACTTGGTCCCATTAAGCACTGGGACTGAAGAAGTATAAAGGTCCCATAAAGTCATCTGTGCTGCCTCACTTAGCATGTCAGCTGGGCCAGAGAACCTAGCCTAGCTTGTTACAAGTACCATATACACATCACATTTTGTATACGTATGTGTACCCAGACACACACACGTACACATGCCTCGTGTGTGTGTACTGGATCAAACTAACCAAAATATATACAAAGTAGTTCTACACTGACATCTAGTTCCCTCGATGTGTATATATAAAAGTCATCGGTACTTATTTTGCATCACATTAAATAAAAGTGAAGTACAGGAAATAACTGTACAAATACATGGCCTGCAAAGTACATGACTGGCATAGTCCTGTCAAGGTGTCCAGTCTTTTGGGATCAGCAGATATATCATGTGTTATGATTTTTCAGTGGTTTTCCCCAGAATCACACAAATGTGGATTCTTTCTGCATACAAATGGAGTCACTCATAAATTACCTATAAACAAAATACTGTTGTATGTCTACACTCCAGAAATAGAAATACCCAAGGTAGTTTTAAATGAAGTTCTACACAAACCAATTTACCTTCATCTTGTCACAGTAAATTAGCCTTTATGGAGACCATACTGGCATGGCTAGACTGCTTCTAGAAGCCAACTTAGTTTTGGAATCTCTGTGCTATGCGGCAACATGTAGTAGAGATATATTATAAGAGTTTGTGGGCAACATCAAATGTTTACAAGAAAAAAAATTAGCATCAGCCAAAGCCTATGCCAGGAATGGGGAAGCAAAGGAAAAGAGTCACTTCAAATTAGTATCTGAATATGGGCCATTATCTGAGAATGATTTGGGTCATTAGATTGGCCACCTCAGGGTTACATCCTTAGATTTCTTTCTAAGGACGGCAGAGTATATTTTTCCATTTTGCACTGTCACAAGATGCATGTCTTGTTATTGACATTTCAAACTTCATTTATGAACTTTCACACCAAATAGTTTTGGCTTTTACTTTGTACTGTAGTTACTTTTTGCAACCAACTCGGCAAAATTAATTTATGAACTGTGTATCAATGGAAATGTATGTACATAAAAACTAAGCAAAACTAAATGTTATACTAACAATCTATGTAATTGCATAGCTAAAATAACAATATTTTAAAATTAATGTTATATATTTTTTCTACTACAGTTTAAAAGTTATCCACATAAGCATATCTTTCGCCTGTTAAGATTATAATGTTTGCTACCTGTTCAGTTTGATTTTGGTACATGAAGCAATTACTATTATAATGAAATATGTCCATTTTGGGGTTCAGTTATATACAGTAACAGTTTCAGGAGATTTTAATATTACATCTTGCTGCATTATCTGTATGCAAAACTGTTTAATTAATATTACTTTAAGTCCCCAAACTCACAATAACTCTGAAGACAGAGGAGTGAACATTTTAATTCATATTCTGGAAGCCATCTTCAGGCACGGATGGTCAATGGGAAAATAAACATTTTATTCAGCGTGTAGGTGTTTGATCATTCACATTAGAAAATATGAAGTGAAAGCTAAGAAAACAGTATTGCCCTGGTACTTAGGCTGTAGAAATCACTGTTGCTGCTGGAATAAGATTAGCTCCAGAAATCTTCAAAAAAGCTAGTGACGTTCAGATAGGGCACTAGTTTAGCTGAGCGACCAGCAGGAGTGTATGTGGAAAATGAATTAACTGATAAAGTCTAAAACAAGTTTGGATACCCAGAGCACATCAGTAAGCATACCAGATTGATTGACAGAGATATGAAAGATTTCTCTTATGCATAGTGACAGTTTGTGGTATACATAGAAATAGGTAGACAGGTCAAAATGTGAAAGATAGACATGAAGTCCTGAATCCAGGAAGACACAGTACAACTGAAACAGATCAGAGAAATAAAAAGCAGAAATGCTCCATTGATTTGATTGTGAATCTAAACAGACTCTCCAGTACACCATGTTTAATAGCATTCCACTCAAAATATTACTTCTACTGAGCCACTTTATGTTAGATTGCTGTCATTATCAGTCATGCATGTACAATTGAAAATTCTGTGTTTTGTTACATTGAATGAAACCAGTATGGCAGTATAGTAAATGATTGGGCAATATATTCATAATAGCTCCCAGGTGAATCTATAAGGGGATAGTACACCACACTGCACACTTCCAGCCGCATAGGCAGATGCTGCTACAAACTGTACCCTAGGGTAGACAGCTTCAATAATGTGCATGTTGTCAATGTAACAACCATATAAAGAAATCTTAGCCCCTCCCCCCCGGCCTACATGTGAAAGGTGAAGGCATGATGGGGTCTAATGCATGGTCCACAAAATTGTGCCTCCTGGCATGCCACACATTCAGGGGGAGCCTGATCCCACAGTGCCCTGCTGGGATCCAGAGTCTGCAGCTACCCTGTGCTGCTGGGGCTGAGAGTCTGCTCCGTTGTGGAACTCCCAGTGCTGGCTGTGCATGAGGCACCCCTGCAGCCGGGAGCCTGGTCAGCTGCAACCTCCCAGCTGCAGAGCCAGATACTGTTACACATGCAACTTAAAGCTGAATAACAACAACCTGTAAAGTTAATACACCTTTTCCAGCAATAATTTTATAACTGTTATGGCATGATAGTTAATTTGCAAATGTCGCTGGTCTAAATTAATTGTGCAGTTAACCAGATAATTGCATCATAGTTATAGCATGCAGTGGTGGGACTTATATTATTTTAACCACTAGTTGATTCCACAAGGCCCACAGTCACCTGCAGTTTCCCAGTGACCTCATAGCTTGCGAGTTGTCTCAAGAGAAGGTTTAATTTGCTCCTTTTAAAACCTTTCTCATAGTAAAGGAAATAATAAGTTATAGGTTTGGTCCCAACTATGGCACTTTGTTTTCAGAGTTCACGCCACTTTTCCTACATTTCACCTGAAAAATGAGCAAACCAATTATCTTGTCCTTGTAGTGCCTTCCTTTTTTCCACAGCAACAGCTTTTTCAATGCCTTTTTGAAAGGATTCAATACTGCTTACATCCTCTTTGTCATATGCATGCTGCACTCAAGAGATAACAGGTCCAAGATATTTTGTGCTTCATTGAATTTTTCCAGTGACCTTTTCTTTCTAATTTACACCTTTATTAATATTATATCTAAGACAGAACAACATTATGCTAAGATACTGCCGTCTCATGTCTGGTTGAGCTTAAGAATGTGAATGTAGAATGCAAGTGTCTGCAATAAATCTTGTATCAGTTCTTTTAACATAACTGTTTTCTTCCTAAGTAAACAGTATAATTTGTATAATTTATCATGAGTTTACTATTAAACTTGCCTCAAACAAGCTATGTTACTTGCCATGCTGCACATGAGTTTTAGCACTTTGGAGGAGATACAGAACTTGTTAGTGGAAAATCATATTAAGATCAAAATGCATAAGCTATAAAACGAAAGACAGTTGTCTATTCTGGAATTTTGGCTCCCTGCCATTCTGGATTTGCTTGTTGGCAGCCTTGAAAACACTGGTGTAAATCAGTACCAAATGCACATCAAAATTCCATAAACCAGTAGTAATCATTAAATTGGCATTCAAGTTGACTTCTCTGCAAAGAAAACACCCTTCATATCTTCAGCAGATCTATCATTTAGGAACTATGAAAATATTAACCAATGGCTACCTTTTTTAAAATCCAATTTCACTAAAAATGCATCCCCATTCCTAAATTTAGTGTTGTACTAATTTCTAAAGTATTATTTGTCATTTATGTTTTGTTTCCTCAGGTTCTTTGTACTACACACCCTTTTTTTCTTTGACACGCACATAATTCTGGAGAATTATACAAATTTGTTTTTGTAATTCTGTATCTCTTTGCTAATATATACACATGCATGTGTACTCATAATATACCTTTAAAATACCATAAGCCAAATACAGCAGTCCTTACTCAGTCAGAACTCTCATTAAAACTTGACAGTCAGAACCAGCGTGCTGCTATTGTCCACTTACCATTGTGCCTATGTCAACAATTACATTAACAGGCAGCGGAAGGAAGTCATTTGCAAAAAAAGAGGGTCAGAATTTCCTAGAAAGTTTTAAATAGATGATCTTACATATTAAGAAACCAGTATAAGATGCTGCTTTGGCTCATAAACTATGCTAGCTACTATACGCCAAAGTGGATTTAGGCATCTAAGTGAAATCTTATCCTACCCTGCTTGGGTATCTGAAAAACAGCTAATACAAAAGTAGATAGATTCTCCTCTTTACTGATTTTTTTTTTTACTTAGTCTTGAAACGAAGATGATGGTGTGTTACAGAAGTATGCATTTTTTTGAAGGTGGAAAAGAAGTTCACTTAAAGTCTTACTAGATATAATAGGATCTGGTCCTTTGTTTAGATACCTTGCTCCATTTATAGTGTTCCACGATGTACTAAGTATGAGTATCTTTGAAAGCCACACCTTAATATTGAGAACTAGAATGAGATTGGTGAATAATGTGTTGGGGATCCTTGTACTATGGCAGAGTGTAGTAACCATTTATGATCAAGAAAAGCCCAGGACTACAATAACATAGGTGCTGAAAGACCAAACTAAGCTGCCTTGCCAGAGCTTTCTGGGATAGTTGCAAGAGCCATGTTTTGTAAAAATATGACTTGAAATTCCCACAACATGCATGAAATGTGGATGCTCCCATGTGGAAGGGGACAGTGAAGAAAGAAAAGATGGTGCTCTCCCCTACCTTGGGGGTCTTCAAGAGGAAACTGGACAAGCACTCTTTTCTGCCCAGGGCAGGGGGTTGGTGCCCAGGGCAGGTCACTTGATGACCTAGTGAAGTCCCTTCTGGCCCTAATATCTATGAATATATGAAAAAGCTTATATTCGTATTTTCCTTCTAATAAAACCTATTTTGATTTTACACTTTCGATCCATTTGTCATAAATATGAACATTCCAAATGCTTTCTCCCTTTTAAAATGTGTGAAATATACTGTAAAGACAACTTAAAATATGTAGATAGGTACCCAAGATGTTACAAGTGTTAAGCTTTTCTTTTCTTATGTCTTACGGGTAATTTGAGCAATGTAAAGAGCTTTGAAAACATCCAGGTAAAATCAGTCATCAGGGTCTCTGATCTTTGTTTGAATAAGGCTGAATGCCCCTGATGCAGCACCAGGAAAGAACCCTTATGCCTGAAAATGTAGATGTTGTGACAAAGGGCTGCAATGATTTACTGAATGAATTGAAACTTTGCTTAAAATGCCTTTACTATTAGAGGAGCACTAATATTTTTGAACATCAGGATGAAAATGGAGGACAGCAGCACCACAAAATATTTAAAAAACTGGCAGCTGCATCAGAGCCAGTGTCACCATAACTGTGTGAAATTAAACCTAAAACTTAGCATCATTTTACACTTCAGAATATTTAATGCAGCCCCAACTGCCTGAGCTAAAACTGTAGGCGGTTGTGAAGATGTTGACATTTGAACAGATGTCAGCAATCTTAGGAAATCTAAGTTGGGCTGTAGATTGAGAGCTGGGCAGCTAATGGTGATTGTTACATAAAAGCAATGTGCGAATATAAATCTGAGTCAGGCCCCAAGTCAATAAAGTTAAGAATTTTTACATCATTATTAGGAGGGTGGGAGGGGTGTGGAGAAGTAGAAGTCTGGTCCAACTATGTTTTGTTGTAACTTTTCAAATTCTGAATTTAAATCAGTTTTGAA